GAAATGTCGACGTTTTCTAAGCAATGGTAAATCTACCTTGAAATCTTTGACATATTGCTTGAGATTGTCCAGCGACCACGATCACAACTTGTACGGTATTAAAATTTTGTTCATCTTTATTCCACTTTTACATTTATACAATTTATTTAAGATAATTTCACTTTTCCATACTAATATATGGAAAAGCAATTTCTATAGTTTCCTTAAATAAATGTTTGTTGCTAAATTAAGGTTCTATAACAACCGTTTTAACTTTAAATCTAATGCTTGCTTCTTGTTTTCCATAATAAACATCACTGGCACTAATTAACGACCTAATTTTACATGCTTAAATAATGTCAAATTCATTAGAATCCATCCGTTTTTCACCATAATGAATAGGAGTAAAACTCTTACTATATTTCAACTTTACATACATACGTTTTCTACCATTTATACTATTTGTAAAAATAGGCTTTACAACCTGTTCTATTTTGTCTTTACCCATATTTCTAATCTTACTCGCATTTAATGTATCTATAGTCCGCTTTAGAATAACACCATCGTTTATTCTCGCTTTTAACTTGATTTGATTTAATACTTTTATTTCTTTTTTAAATAATGACATATTTGATAACCAATTATGTTCAACGGTATTTTTTGGGATTTAAATTTATAAACTGGTTGTATACCATAACATTTTGCTTCGGGCATCGTAATTAAAAGTTTGTGTTTTTCGTTTTTGTGTTGATAATATATGCTCGATGTGCAACCATTTGGGTCTTCTATAACGAGTTTATTTGGATCAAAGGTCCATATATGGTGTTTGAATCTTTACAATTTTGATTGAGAAATTAGTGGTTATCGGTTACAATATATGTTTTAGTTGTCATCTTATTTTATGAAAGTGTCATTTATTTGAGACAATTTCACTTTGAATGTAAACATAGATAACAATTGCTCTTATATTTGTTATGTTCGCAAAACAGAGTTTTGTGACAATCATTGCATTGTTGCTTTGTTTTTCCACGTTTACAAACAGGGCGACACTCTGGACATTTATATTTGTCTGTTCACACTTTCGCCACTTGATTTTTTCTTTACAAGCATTGCAGAATTTTACATAATTCTTTGTTTTATTATCTGTTTAAATTGGTAATTGGTTTACAATGATGGCATTGTTGGCAACATTTAGTTTTGTGTTGTTGTCATTCTTGTTTATGAATATACTTTATTAAAAATATCATTTATTTAAAGTGGCATTATTAATACATATATTCATCTGAGTAACCACAGTTCTTAAAATAATCAAGCAAATGAGCATAGTGAGAGAACTGATGAGTAACGAGTGGTTTTTGGGTGGTAAGTTGTGCAAGTTGTGTGAGTTGCGCGGGGAGGGTTGTGTGTGGTTTTGGGGAGGGTCGGGTAGGTATACAGCAGAGTTGTGCGAGTTGTGTAAGTTGTGTGAAGGTTGGGTAGGTATACAGCAGCTTTGTGCAAGTTGTGTGTGGTTTGGGGAGGGTTGTGTGTTGTTTGGGGAGGGTGGTGTGTGGTTTGGGGAGGGACGGGTAGGTATACAGCAGGTTTGTACAAGTTGTGTGAGTTGTTCGAGTTGTGTGTGGTTTGGGGAGGGATGTGTGTGGTTTAGGGAGGGTTGTGTGTGGTTTAGGGAGGGTGGTGTGTAGTTAGGGGAGGGTCAGGTAGGTATACAGCAGGTAATTTTGAGGATTTCACTTTTTTTAGTCGAGTAGGTATAGGAGGAAATTTGGTCTAGAAACGCCATTTATAATACTACTGAAAGAGTGAGAGGCATGCTGCATGTACTGAAGCTTTTTACACCGCTTTGCTAGAATGGAATGCCCTGCCCTGTCCTTTGAATTTAATTATAAAAGCTGTAGATCTGAACAAAGGGGGATTATCATGACTTGAAAAAAAAACAACAAACAAAACAGAGCAGGACTGTTACAAGCTGTTCAGGAATTCACTACCTTAACCCCCCTCAGGATCGAATGTTGGCAGAAAATGTGATCAACAATACAAAAAAATATTTACAAAGTGAATATGTGTACAAAAAAATTAATTCAAATGAGGAAAGTGTGTACGTATTTTCTTGGCCAGCGTACACGTCTTCCAGATCTGGTGAATCTCTCTCTTTTGGTATACTGTCAGATGGAGGTCATACTGAAGCTGGTGTATGGGACTAAATATCAGTATGAGCAACCTTCAACTTGTCAACACTTACTGTACTTTGTTCGCCATTAATGTCCAAAATGAAATATTTATCTTTTCTCTCGATGACACGATACGGGCCGTCATAGGGTGCTTGCAGAGGCTTTTTAATAGCAGCTACACACAGAAATACATGTGTACAAGTAAACAAATCCTTAGGAACTTGACTTTGGTGCTCATTAGTTCTAGGCGATTTTAGTTTGAGCTGTGACATGTAATGACGAAGGTAGTTAACATAATGGGTTGGGTCTGCAATTTCTACATTTTTTACTGGAACAATGAATTCTCCAGGAAGTCGACGAGTAGAACCATAAACTAGCTCTGCAGCACTACATCCTAAGTCAGCTTTAAATGATGAGTGGAGACTAAGCAGAATGAGTGCCAATGATTCCGTCCACTTGTTGGCTTCCTTTGAGCTTTTAATGCTGACTTGAGGGTTTGATGAATCATTCCACTAATCCGTTTGCAACGGGGTGGTAAGCAATGGTGAGAATGTGTTTGGTACCAAGAAAGTATGACAGATGTTTGAAAAGGTGTGATCCAAACTGGCTATCTCTATCTGTAGTTATTGTTGCAGGCACTCCAAACCGGGCTATCCAATTGTCAACAAAGGCTTTTACAACAATTTCAGCAACAGTATTAGTAATTGATATTGCCTCTGGCCACCTGTGAATCAGTCTATACATGTAAGTAGGTAAAAAACCATTAGATTAAGGAAGAGGGCCAACTTAATCTATGTGTACATGGCTAAAGCAAGCATCAGGGGTTGCGAAAGTACCTATAGGTGTCACTGTGTGACTCTGTACTTCTGCATGCTGATATTGAATGCAGTGCCTATTCCAATTCTGAACATCTTGATTGATGGATGGCCATACAAATCTCTGAGTGATTACGTGTTGTGTAGCCCAGACACCTGGATGGGAAAGCTCATGTAAAGAATGAAAAATGTCACGCCTACATTCTTTTGGAATTTATGCATGTGATTTACCAGTTGATGTATCACAAACAATGGTATTCTGTGATGTGAGTAGAGGTAATTCTTCAAAATGAAGACAGGACGATTCATGAAGCTTCACTAGTTCTGGGTCTGTCTTCTGTTTGATTGCTATATGGTCAAAATCAATGAAATTGCTGGTTTGGTACGTGTGATGGAAGAAGTAGGCATCATACCTTGAAAGTGCATCTGCAAAAGCATTTTCTGAACCTTTAATGTGGCGCACATCTGTACTAAATTGATAGACGTAGTCTAAGTGACGAATTTCTCTTGGTGAGTAGCGATCTGGCTTTGATTTGAATGCATATCTCAGAGGTAGTGGTCGGTCAAAATGAAAAAGTCGCGGCCTTCCAGATAATATCAAAAGTGGCGAATTGCTAAACATACAGCCAGCAACTCGTTACCAAAAGTATGTATATAGTCTCAGCTGGTTGTAAACGTTTACAGAAAAATGAGATTGGTTTCATATGACCATCTACATATTGATTAAGTACACCTCCAACTGCCTTGTTTGAAGTGTCCACCATTAAACAAAGGGGAGTGTCAACAAATGGATGAATAATCAAAGTGTGTTGAGCTAGAGCGGATTTAGCTTTCTCAAAGGCCAATAATTCTCCTTCTGAAAGTTCAATTACGTTGTTTTTTCTTTTACATGACAGGAAGTCTGTTACTAGTCGCAAAATGTCGGTGCAGTGTGGAATGCCTGTAAAAATTGATCAATCCCAAAAATTCTCGTAGTTTATGAAGCGAGGTTGGAACTGGAAAGTCTTGTATGACTAACTTTGCCTTCCAAAGGTCTAATACTGTTAGAGTCAAAAGTGTGGCCAAGGAATCCAAGGCTAGGAACACCAAATTCACACTTGCTTGGATTGATAACAACACCATATTCATGGAGGCGGTCAAAAAGTGGCCTTAGATGTTGTTCATGTTGTTCCTCATCATTACTGACTATCAGCAATATGTGCATAAAAGAAGTTGAGGCAGTGCAAGACTTAGTCGATGAATCTTTGAAACATTTGGACTGCATTCCTTAAATCAAAGTGCATCCGAAAATATTCAAAGAGGCCAAATGGTGTAATGATAGTTGTTTTAGGAATGTCTTCAGGCTCAATAGGTGTTTGATGGTAAGCTTTAATACAGATCAATTTTGCTAAAGATTGTTTTACCATGTAAATTAATTAAGAAATCATAGGTATGTGGAATAGGGTATCTATCAGGTACTGTGATACTATTTAAGGTATGATAATAGCCACAAGGTCTCCAATCACCTGATTTTTTGGGCACCATGTGCAGTGGTGAAGACCACTGGCTATCTGATGGGCGAATAATTCCTAATTCCAACATATGGTGCAATTCGGCTTTTGCTGCTGGCAATTTACATGCTGCAAGTTGTCTAGGTCGAGCACTGACTGGTTGTCCAGTAGTTTTTATCTGACGAGTGACGTGTACTTAATCAAACTCTGCTTATAATTTGATCTTGTTATTTCTGGATATTGACTAAGCAAGACAGTGTATGCATCGTCACTGTTAGGCATAGCAAATACTAGGCTTGGTGAGCTTATGGACGTTACATTGCTGTTAACAGCGAGTTCAGTCTGTGAATCTATCAATCTGCGCTTTTTAACATCTACCACTAGAGAACAATTTTTGAGAAAATTGGCGCCTACAATCGGCACAGGTACAGCTACGATAACGAAAATCCATTTGAAATCGCGCCTTAATCTGATATTCAGTGTCAAAAATCTCCCCCCGTAAGTGGTTATGTGGGTCTTATTAACCGCTTGCAATGTATACTGACCACTGTTGCGCTCATCGTTGGTAGTTGGTGGAATAATACTAACTTCAGCGTCAGTATCAATGAGTAATCTAGTACCGGTAGTTCTGTCTGTAACAAAAAATAGACGACTTTTCATTTTGCCAGTCGAACTCATCGTCCCCGGTTGCTGGCTTTCTAGTTTTGCTGTCTCCTTTGACCTATTGCCTATCTGTGTCTGAATTGATATGGCTAAATTTCAGACCAGCTTTAGGAGAATATACAATGGCAACTTGGGTGCCATGGCTAAGGCAGTATCTCCCTTCAAGAGTTTCGTTCAAATTAATTCTTCCCTTTTCTCTGTATGGGTCTCTTGGAGTAAAATAACATCACATGTGCTCCAAAGCAAATCATTATAAATAACAGTTCTTTTGCTTACATCCCTCAAACCACTGATGCTGATAGTAGCAACTGAAATGACTCCTATGAGATTCATGAGTAGGGGAAGAGATACCAGAGAGTTAACAGAATAGGGAAAAACACAATTTCAAACACAAAAAACATGGAAAAATGTGAAAACAAAACATGGAAAGTTGAGACAAACAAAACATGTAACTTAATGGAGTCACTTGGCCCTTCCTTTCCCTGTGCCTCACTGGCTTGGTTGACTGGATATCTGGAAAAAGTTGTCATTAGGTGTTCTTTCCCAGGATGTGCATTTTTTGTGATATCGCTGGACACCTCCCTGATGTACGACACAACATCTTCTCCAGGGTCTGATTCGTCAGTGTTATCAGAGTTATGTCCCGTTTGGCAAATGTCCTCCGTAGCTTGTTCCGGAGTTCCCCTTCCAGGAATTAATCTCTAGGGAATTTACTATTTTCTTGAGTGGTTCCTATCCCCACTGTCACTCGTTTTCCTTGAGACCTCCTTGCTTGGTTCCACTGTGTCCATACCTTCTTCTTCTGGACAATCAGTCAGGCATACGTTAGAAACCCTTCATAAGTTTGATGCACAACATCCTGGGCTGTTTCTTTGACACCTCTGCCTGGGGTTTCTCCCGGTTGGTGATAATTGCCATGAGTGGTTTGTTCTGTCCTGTCTCCTTGGGTTTGTCTCCTCCCTTTTGAGCTTTTTCTGATCTATTCTCCTTGCCCTTTCTTTGTTCGTCTGCCTCATTCTTTGGCTGCATTTCTTCAGGTTTACAATTGCCGTCTGCTGAATGACTGTCCTTGTTGCTATCTTTGTGTGTCTAGCATTGTCAAGTGTATTGAGCAGAATCCAGTTCAGCAGGAGTAGTGAGGACTGGTTCATCCCTTGCCACAGTCTCTCCCTCTGTATCTTGGTGTCATCTTCGTTGATCAAAACTGCCACCTATAAGATCTGCCTCTTGTAATATTGTATCATAGGCACTCCATACACATGTACTTGATGATATAGGTCACAGATTGACCTCCTCTCAGTTGTTGAATACACTTAACAGTCAGTCATGAACAGCGTGCATGGCTCCACTCATTTCAAAACAATAAATACTACATTTTGGAGACAAGCAAGGGATTTTCCTTCAAATCTGAACGCCTGGCATGTCTGGTAATATACATAGACTCTTAATCCCCAGTGTATGGTGAATTAAGCAGCAAGATACACTTTTATCTTTTGTGAACTTTGTAACATTTGTCTGTCACAATGAATGCGTTGACTCTGCCATCTTTTCCCACATTGCCCGTCAGTAGTGAGCCGACCAATGTTGGTCTCCGGTGGGAGAAATACGTCAAAAGACTTGAGAACTTGTTTGTTGGTTTCAACATCACAAATGACTCTCAGAAACAAGCTCTGTTGCTCCATTACTCTGGTGAGGAAGTCAATGAGATTTTTGATACCTTGGCGGACACTGGCTCCAGCTATGACGGTGCAAAGAAAGCATTAAATGAACATTTCAACCCATCGAAAAACACAGAATTCAAGTGATACACCTTCCACCAGTCCAAACAGCAACCAAGTGAGACTGTTGCTCAATACCACACATGACTCCAACGTCTAGCAACCCATGGTGAATTCCCAGAAAAGGACAATGAAATCAAGTGGCAAATAATCCAGACATGCACGTTGAACAAACTTTGTCGGTATGCACTTCGAGAACAGTCCCTCACGCTTGTACAACTCCTCAAGACTGCTCGAACATAAGAGTCTGCAGACCGTCATGCTACTAGAATGGAACACTCAACAACTCCATTGACCATGTCAACTGTGAACAAAGTCGAAGTCGAGGAACCAACGCAAAGTGGCCCCTGCCCCTCTTGTGGACGCCGACCGAAAGTTCCTGCACAACAGCCAAAGTAAAACCAGCACCATCAACAGACGAGACGCCCCCTGCAGAGGCCGTTAAACCAGTCAAACTCGCGCACCTGTCGCAACTGTGGTGGCCGTTACCCACACAGCAAAGACAGAGACTGTCCAGCAAAAGGCCAAACCTGTCACGCATGTGGTCAACAAAATCACTTTGTTAAATACTGCATGAGCTCAGCCAGACCCCAACCAAGATCTAACAATCACACAGTCGATACCAGTCCTCAGGACAGTAGTAATGGTAGTAATGCGCCACCCCTGGAACTTCCAGCAGCTGACAGTGAATATACATTTCACCTTCACTCCCAAACTTTGGCCAAGCCAATGGTCACAGTGTTCATCAACAACAGTCCAATATAAACTGTGATAGATAAGGGGGCTTTCGTCATGTTGATGAGTCTCAACACCTTCAACAGCCTAAGACCACGTCCCAAGCTCCACTCACGCACAATCCCAGTATACGCATATGGCAGCAACACACCACTCGAGATCATTGGATCGTTTGTAGCACGAGTAAGCTACAAATCATCATCTGTCATGAGTCCAGTATTCGTCACATCTCGTACAACTGACACTCTCCTGAACCTTGACACCGCATCAGCCCTTGGACTTGGACTCGCTGCATACCATTTCACCTGCGCAGACAAGTAGAACAAGAACTTGACAATTGATCAAACTTGATATCATCGAACATGTACACGGCATACCAACACCTTAAGTATCGCCTATCACAGTTGTCCAGAAACCACACAAGCCTGATGAAATCTGCCTCTGTGTTGACATGCATCAAGTCAACCATGCCATCAAAAGGGAACACCACATCACAACTACAGTCGATGACATTATCATCGCATTCAATGGTGCAATAACCTTCAGTAAACTTGATCTAAACTCAGGCTATCATCAAGTCGAGCTTGACCCCAGATCACGTCAGTACACGGTCTTCTCCACCCACGTTGGTTTATTCAGATGCAAGCGTCTGAACTTTGGCCTGTCATCTGCTGCTAAGATCTTCAAGCACGTCATTCAAGCAACCCTTCGTGATCTTCAGGGTGTTATCAATATCAGTGATGACATCCTTGTCTTTGGGAGCATGCAGGAAGAACATGACACTCGTTTCAAGGCCTGCCTCCAACGCCTGCGTGAGGCCAATCTCACCCTGAATCGTGACAAGTGCAAATTCAGCGTTCCACAAGTCAACTACTTCGGACACATGTTCTCAGCCAGTGGAATTTCTCCTGACCCGCAAAAAATCAGCGCAATTCATACTGTCACAGAGCCTCAAAATATCCCTGAGCTATGCAGCTTCCTCGGTATGGTAAACTACTGTGGTCGCTTTATCCCTGATCTCGCAACCATATCGTCTCCCCCCTTCGCGACATGATAAAAAATGCCAGTCCATGGGAGTGGACAACTACACAATCTAGTGCATTCCCCTCATCAAGCACTGCATAACTGAATGTTGCACAATGGTCTACTTCAATCCCTCTAACAAAACTGAACTACTTGTTGACGCTAGTCTGGTGGGATTGGGTGTCATGCTCACACAACATGACTCTCGCAACAACACATCTGTTGTAGCTCTTGCCAGCAGAGCCCTCACCTCATTTGAACAAAGGTACTCACAAACTGAACGAGAGGCACTAGCCATTACGTGGGCAGTCAGTTACCCACTTTCACTCGTACCTGTATGGTGGTTCATTTGAGATCATCACAGATCACAAGCCCCTAGTGACATTGTTCTCCAACTCTGCATGACAGCCATTACACACGGTAACTGGGATGAACTCCTCGCTAACGCAAACAAACAACAGAAAACTGAGCTGACCAGTTTCGACAATGTAAGTGACAAACTCACAGTGTCTCAAGATTGTAAACTCCTCATGCGTGACCATGGCCTTTTTATACCCCAAACACTCCATAAGTGAATCATGGACATAGCACACGAAGGCCACCAGGGCATCATCAAAACAAAAGCCCTCCTGTGCAAAAAGTCTGGTTTCTGTACATTGATCGCATAGCTGAGGCAACAATCTGGGAATGTCTCCCCTGCCAAGCAAACACAATCGAACACACCAAAGAACCACTCAAGATGTCACCCCTCCCAACCAGAGCATGGTCAGAGATCAGTATTGATTTTGTTGATCTCCCCTCTGGAGAACATTTGCTGGTAGTCATAGATGATTGTTCACGCTTCCCAGAGGTAGAAATTGTGTCATCAACATCAGTCCAGCAGGTGATCCCCAAGCTTGATCGCATCTTTTCCAGTTTTGATATCCCAAATATTGTCCGCACCGACAATGGTCTGCCCTTCAACAGTCCCGAATTTTCCAGCCTCGCCCAATATCTTGGATTCGAGCATCGTCAAGTTTCCCCTCGTTGGCCCCAAGCAAACGGTGAAATTGAGCGCTTCATAAAAACTCTCAAAAAAGCATAGCGCTCTGCATTCATCGAAAGCAAACCACGGAAACAGGAACTGTATAAATTTCTTCGCAACTACCATGCCACACCACATTCCAAAACCGGTGTTTCACCTGCCAAACTCTTTTTCAGCAGATCATTCCAAACATGCCTACCTGAACCAGAAGTCACTCCATTGCCACAGCATACTCCTGTCCAAGAACGCGACCAACACACGAAGTCCCAAATGAAAACCAATGCCAACAATCGCGGTACTACTTGAGTCAAAGACATTGACATTGGTGACCATGTTCTCGCCCGTCGTCATGGGCATGTCCCCAAACACATGTCACTTTACATCCCGCAGCCCTACACCGTGACGAGCAAGCGTGGATCCCTAATCACAGCTCAACGCAACACACACACAATCACACGCAACTCATCTTCCTTCAAGAAATACACAGGACCATCCCCACAACACCCTGACAGTGATGATGAAAGCGACATTGTCACCCCCCTCAGGATACACCACCCCAGCCAAACCAGCCCTGTCACAATCCACCTCACAATCGTCAGCCACCCCTACACCTACGTGACTTTGTATCGTAAATCAGGACACAACTCTGACAGTATGAACAAAAATAAGGAACACTTATGCTGTGATCCAGGCTCCAATTTTATTTTTGTTTGTTTATATTCAAAATTGTTGTCAGCCTTTATCCATTTGGCTTCATTGTTTTCATTTTTTTTCAAACATGCTAAAAATTATGCAAACTAGCACAATTATTCTCTCAAAACAAAAAAGGAGGAAAGGAAAGTATCCCAAAACAATGCGCTTCTTTTCATAAATTGGAAAGAATCATAAAACAGTGGTTTTCTTTGATTAAATTGCTTGTTACTAACGTTGTTTTGCCAAATCTAAAAGTTGATTAAGATTGAGAAGGAAACAATCTCCCTCATAATATTATAAAAAGTTTGTTTCTATAATGGTTGACACAGAAAGACAAAAACCAAAGAAAGGCTCCGACACAGGAAGTATTACACGTGATAGAAGGCACACTTTCTCAGTTTCATGCTTTTTTTATAAACACACTTATTTGAACTATGGCCCAGTACACCATTGCAAAAGGTTAATTCAATTTTTGGACTTTTAGCAAGCAAGGTGGAAAGGGTTGTAATATTGTATCATAGGCACTCCATACACATGAACTTGATGATATAGGTCACGGATTGACCTCCTCTCATTTGTTGAATACACTTAACAGTCAGTCGTGAACAGCGTGCATGGCTCCACTCATTTCCAAACACTGAATACTACACCTCTCATGAGGCATTCTCCGGGAAAAGTCTGGCTTAATAGCACACCCTGCACGTTCTTGTCCTCGATATCTCACTAGCATTGTAAACCCGCTCACTCGAATGAAACTTGAAATGGGTTTCTTCAGGCTTTTCCCAAAACAACTGCATATCAAGTGTTATTCAACAGTATCATTTTGTTCACCTTGACACCCTTGCATTTCACCGTCTTTAGACTGGTACCAGTCCCCCCCAAAATGGCACAGCTTATCAATCATGCATTACAATGTTGCATTTTACAAAAATATAAAACAATTCATAGCATTATGAAAACTTACCTAGTGATTTTCCAATAGTTAATTGATGTCTGGACAATTCAATGGCAAGTCTCTGCAAAAAAAGAGAGGGACAAACCATCAAGAATGAGAATCAGGACATGTCAAGGACATGAATTTTACTTTGGAATATTGTGACGTCGCATCCATTCGGTGGGAGCAGGACCCGCGAGGGCGCTGTCTTCTTCAGGAGTGTGACGCAGACGGCATGACTGGATCGTTTGTGAGCGGCTAAAGACGCATCCGTTGGGATGGAAGTATACCGTCCTGGTATTGGTTGTTAGGTGTACACGGGGTACTCTATTAGCTGTGTTTGCTAATTACTGTGGCGAGTGATTTGTAAAGTCGAATAACTACTAGAATGGAGTCTACAAGAACCTGACAATTACGTATGGTTTAATCAGGCTAGAGCCTTGTCTATAAATCTCAACAGAGGGCAATCTTTGCAGTGTTTAATGTACAAATGAGCAGCCGTAAGGCCCACAGACTGATATGTTTGAACACACACAAGCTATCACATTGTGTCGGATCAATGCAATGGCTGGTGTACTGGAGTATGATATAGCTGAGTTGAAAACCAGCATTCCCAGACTCACAAGGCACAATGCATGAATATTACACTATTACGATAAGTGCTTACTGCACGTGTTAGAACCCATTTCTTTCAGCAGATGCTTTCCAGCAGATGCTTTCCAGCAGTGCTTCCAAGCAGTACTTAAGCTTCCAAGCTAGGCTCGTGCTTCTCAGCAGCAAACTGCCTTTTTGGTCATCTGTGCACGTCTTTTATGCCTGCTTTGCGAACGTTATACAGGTGATTATAGCTCGCAGTACTGCCAGTAGCCAATCAGCATACCCCGGGCGGTCCTTTTCCTGCAAGCTTCCAGGGAACACCTCACGCGCCCTCTATGTTAGCCTGTGAGTACTAAAACATTCCTCTGTCGCGTTACAATATGTTTTAGGCAACTTTCTGTTTCTCTTGAATGTCAGAAATCTGAAATCTCTTTTTAGTTGCTCTTACTGAAAAAAAGGAAATAAAAGTGCCATAACGTTAAAGTAAAAAAAAAGTCATCATAGTTCCAAGGTGTATGAGATTGAGCACAATATTAAAGTCATCAAAATACTTGAGGTATTTGCATTTGGCCTAATCATCATTAAAGGCAGTGTATAGTAGTTGTATGACCCCAACAATGGGACTGTTGAATTATCTTGAAATATCTTACTGTAAAGTGTATACATAAGGGTGTTAATCTGTGAAATCTTACCGCAAGGAATGCTGTGGTTTCCCAGAAAAGACAAAAGTTTAGGTTTTTTCCACAGATCGCCCAGATGGACGATCTTTGGAAAACACAGTTCATTCAAATACCGTAAGGGCCGGCGACCATTTAGACCCGGTTTGAAAAGGGCCCCCCCGGTAAGCTCGCCCTGTTGCAAAAACCCCTTTCATACCGGCCTGGCTACCGGCCTGGCTACCGGCCTGGGATGCTGGACTGGTTGTTGATCTCGAACTTCTCCACCCTGGGATCTATTGTTTGCAAGTACTGGCACTTGTAATCTATCCCAGAGGAACCTGCTTGTGGTTTTTAATCCTTCAGCTCTATACAATGTTTACACTTATCCGCTTAGACCCCTATTCATCTGTGGACTCACGGTGGGGGTAGCCTTTCATCAGGGACTCTGAAATGCCTGATACCAGCCTGGAGTAGCCTGAATACCGGGCAGGCATTATACAGGCTGGGCTACCGGGGGGCCCTTTTCAAACCGGGTCTAAATGGTTGCCGGCCCTAACCATTAATGGGCACAATAAAAATGTGTGAGAAGCATTGAACTGTTGGAAGAGTTTGTATTAATGGGTAATGTACAAACTGTCAACAAGCCAACAAGTTCATAGAATGATAGACAAAGTTAATCACAAAACCCCAAATGGACCTAATTTTGACAAATTGCAGTACACGCAAATCCTATTTGGGAATGTATTGGCCCTGGTTTGGTGCCCTACTGGACCCTGCCATTAGGAACTAGATTCCTCCCCCACACTAGTGTGGGGGAGGAATCACACTAGTGTGATTCACCCCACACTAGTGTGAAGGAGGTCTTCTATTGAATACCTACCCCAAACAGTCACTAAATATGCAGATTTCCTTTGCGCCTAACTCTAAAACTTAACCAACCACAGTGCGCCCTCTATACCCATGATGCACAGCAGAACGGTCACCATGTTCATCCTCTTTTGGTATAAAACCATCTGAGCAAGAAGTGGGGAGGATGGGAGGGAGCTGACTATTTGGGGTCTGCCAACATACTCCCTAACATATCTCCTACACTGGGGCATCCCAATATTAGGCCCATGAGGTAGACACTGCCCGGATGTTGTGGGGCCTGATGAGGCATTGAGTCTGAGTCAGGGTTGGCAATTTGATGGCCGAAACTGCCCATCTAGTGATAATGTCTCTGGCTGCAGCTCGGTGCAGCTTCATTGTCATGACAAAGAGCTGTGATATCAGACCTCTCAGCATTCTGGTCTTGGCTAGGTACCATTTAAGAGTTCTCACTGGACACCATGCTTTTCATAAAAAACATGTGTCTGCGCAGAATAATGGATTTTATCTTGCAGAGATAAAATAGATTATACAACAGCACTGGAGGCATATATATGTCCAAAGTCTGCAAGCATTTTTGAAATGATCAAACTAGCAACAGATTTTTTAAATTAAGTAATGAATGCACAGGTCCATTATCAAGGGTTTATTTTCTGTTTTCATTATTTTTTTTAAAGTAAAATCTCCCGGCTCTGTAGTGATAATGATGTAACACTGTCTGCACCCGAGTTGCCAGTGTTGTATGAGTTGAAATCTCCTACAAACACAAACTATGTTAAATTTCAGTTTTCCCTTAAGTACAGCAATGTATTTCTGAAGAGCTTTCAATCTGGGAGCCTCAGGGATGAATTAGAACCCTTGTAGTAGTGAGTTCCTGTCACTGTAGATTTACTGCTGGATTGATTGATTTCACTCTAGATTATTTCCCCTTTTTGATTTTGATTTACACCTTAGACTGTTTAAGGGGCATTTCAGACTGTCTCTGTGAATGTTTATGAAGTTTTGGTATAAAGTGGTAATCTCAGAGAGATAATACAAGTTATCACATGCGCAAGAGTGGTACACAGAATAATACAGTGCATCTGTGTCCCATTTACCACAAAAACTGGAGAATAATAATAAGGAACATTTATATTGCGCAGATACTATACAAATATACTCAACTGCGCATAACAATACCCATCAATGGCAGAGAAGAAAATCAGGTGTTAGAAAAAAGCTTCATGAAAGAGATGAGGTTTTAGAACAATCTTGAATGTGTTGACAGATTTAGCATTTCTTACATGAAAGGGCAGGTTGTTCCAAAGCCTAGGAGCATCACAAATATATGCACGGTCTCCAAAAGTTGCCTTAGTTCTACGATAGGGATGACTAAGGATCATCCTGTCCTGTGAGCTACAAAGACTGTACCTATGTGACTGGGATTTAGGTGTTAGTAATTCTGAGATATAACCTGGTTCAAAGCCATGCAAAGTCTTAAATGTTAACAAGAGTATTTTAAATGCAATTCTCTGTCGAATAGGCAACCAGTGTAATTTAACCAACAAAGGTGAAATGTGGCAGTATTCAGCAGAGTTACACACAAGTCTGGCTTAAGTATTTACAAATGTGACGTAGGTTATACAGATGGTAAAGTGCACCCCTACAGATATTAGTTATGTGTCGATCCATATTAAGGTGGGAATCAAACTGCACACCCAGGTTTTTCACAGCTGTGGATGGCTGAACTTCAGCAGTTCCAACTGTTATGCTGTCAGTGTTTATCTTAGCAAGCTGCTTGGGTGTTCCGACCAGCAAAAACTCTGTTTTATTATCATTGAGCATCAGTTTGTTACTAAGCATCCATGAGCGAATGTGAACAATACATTGTTGTAGTGTCGATAGACCTTGGGTCTGTTGATCAACAGTCGGGTTGAAGGAAATGTAAAGTTGTGTGTCATCGGCAGTGGCAAGAGACTTGAGGATAGTGTCTATTAATCATGTGTATCAGGTTACTTGTGTAAAGAGTAAAAAGAAGAGGACCCAAACAGGAACCCAGTGGGACACCAGGTGAAATACTAAATTTTCTGGAAATTACATCACCCATGACTACCTGTTGCTGTCTGCCACGAAGATGAGACTCAATCCAGTGTAGGACAATTCCGCCAATACCAAAGTAGGTTTGCAGTGTATGCAATAAAATGTTATGATCAAGAGTGTCAAAAGCAGCACTTAACCCCTTCTTGACGGGAATTTCTTTCCGAAAGCCGACTCCAAGAATTCCAGCCTTGTTTGGCCACAAAGGCCACCTGCCAAACCCGCAAATTCTCGGTTTGTGGCCCGGTGTGCTCTGCACGCTTTGAATTACATGGTGAAAAGGCTGATTGTTCTGTGGCATGCGGCTCTACTCAAGCTTCCACATTCCCATTGCCTCTTTTCAAAGTGGGGACTATTGTGAAGCTGGTGATTACGATGCAAATTCGGTCTTTTCATTTCTGGGCTACACACAAAGGCCAATTACCATATACACAAGAGCCAGGGTCTGCCTTCTTTCACCGTGTTCGCCCGAGTGTGGGCCGAGAATAATAGCTGAAAAGCGGGCCGAGGATCTCAATTTTTACGGCGTTGCTTAACGCGTCCCGGCATGAAGGGGTTAAATCTGAAAGGACTAGCAAAGTCACCTTTTGCTGGTCCATAGCCATGAGGAGATCACTCTTGATTCTAAGCAGTGCAGTTTCTGTGCTATGAAAGCATCTGTATGCATACTGAGTGGCAGGTAGCAACAGATAAGAATGAAGGTGTTCAGAGATTTGTTCAGTGAACCTTATTAATTAAAAGTTAGTGGGGAGTTCAAATGGACTCTGATGCATCTAGAATTACAATAAATGTACATGTACATGTATAATACAATGAAGTGAATGCAATGATTGCAGTTGCCTTACGGTACCACTACATAACGTTCCGACCAGGTTTACCACAAACCCCATATGGAGTTGAACATGACCTACAATTCCAAGAAGCAATGGTTTTCTATGCTTCTTATATTCACTTAGAAAACGCCAGTGTATTTTGCAAGGAATCTTGTGTTCCAGTCCTCACAAGTGGATTTCTATTTCCACATAGCTCTATTTATCTTACAAGGTCTCTGTCAGGGGATGAAATTGGACACAAAAAGTGATTGAGCATCATAAGCATTTGATCTACCTTATGTCAAGGTCACATGAAATGTTGTGGAGAGTGTGGCTGAGCACATCCACTTCACAGTAAATAGTCAGAAAATGTCTTAAGTCTGACATTTGCCCCATTGCTATATCATATTCACATTTCCTCATTTGTTCAAGAACATGAATTAACCAGTACAGAAAGAGACATTATCTGAAAACAACACAATGAAGAACACATGTTTCTTGAAATTTAAACATGATGGCTATGTTTATCCTACGTTGAAATTACCTCTTTGAGGTCATTCACTTGGGCGACATAAAGCTGTTGTGCTGCCTCTAGCCGACTAATGTGCCACTGCTGGTCTCGACATTTCTGATAAAAGGTTGGTGCTCTTACCTGGTCAGAAAGAAAAACTCATTGTCAACTTTTAGTTAAAACCCACGGATTTGAGGAACACAATGCCAAGAAATGGCGATACTTGTGAAAAGAGGAAAAAACGGACATCTTCATATTCTGATATCAGAATGGTAGAAAGGTACACCAAAATTTTGGAAAGTACCATTTTCTCTAATGATTTGTATTGTTTTCCTGCCACCCAAAAAGTAAAATGTACATTAAACAAGAATGGTGTGTTGACAAACACAAATGCCCCACCAAGACCATGGCTACACCCACATCTTTAATTTCTTTAACACATACAAGAACATCCTACTTTAACCACTACCAGCC